CCCGGCCCGCCCGGCGTGTGTCCCCGTGGGGCGATGGCCCAGTGCAGCACTGCCCAGCCACCCATGGGCATCCACCCAACTGCCGTGACAGCGTGTCTGTAATGGGCATCTCTTCTCCTTGCTCTCCAGTGTGGTGTATCCACCACTTCTCACTCCATGAGGCCAATTCCTACTTCTGTCCTCAAAGCCGAGCCCTTGGTGCAGGTGTTTTCCACGCTGCAACCAGCAGAGCACTTGCTCATGGTCCCATCGGACCCAGCAGATCACCTAGCTAGTCTGCTGCTCTCCTGAAGTGTGACCTTTGGAAAGACGCAACTGCGTTAGGGCTGTAATTCAAACTGAGCCTGGCCATGTGAGCCATCGGTCGGGTGCCCCGGCTGTCGTGTGATCAGTGAGAAAGCCCTAGTTCAGCAAAGCACATGCTTGATTTTGTGTTATCTGAAACGAGTATTCACCTGGTTAATACCAGTATTGGGTTAGGGGATGGCGACAGGGGGCAGTTTGCAAAATGCGAATTTTAAAGGAAATGGTCCACAACAAAAATCTCTTAGTTACAGTTAATTCCAAACTGGCTTAATCTAATTTCCCTTTCAGAATTTAAAAGTGCAGATTAAAAGAGTAGTAGAGAATCCTTTTTTTTTTTTCCTCTCCCCTCTATACATATACATATGTGCATGCACATCCTATAAGAAGATTTCCATCATGCAGAATATATGATCTAATTTTAAACCACTGACAAGATATATCTGCTTCTTAAAGCAAACTCTTATTTTAGAATTATTTGAAACTATACTTAGAGTCCTTTTAATGTAGCTAGTATTCCGGTAATGTAACACACTTCATCTTTGCTATGATTCACCTTTAATAATTATTTTCACACAGGTTGTTAAGGGGGAAAATTAAAATTGCTTTTATTTTTTAAGCAATTAATGATCTTATTCAATGCTTAAGAATAATTTATTAATGAACTCTTGTGCAAGTGAATATCCTGTGGGATTATTTATAAACTACATATACCAAGCAACTCAGAAGCTGGTGTTTAGCACAGCACAGGGAGTCACTGCTTCAGACCTGTACTGAACAAATACCCAAGGATGCATCGTTCACCACAGATAGGTGAGAAACGGTTTTTGAAAGGAGCAGCACTCAGGACTGAGCTAAGCAGATAAGTAGCATGGTCAGATATCAATGGCAATATAAATAAGCAAGTTTTTTTCTTTAACAGCGCCTGTGCTGATTTCCCTTCCTGTCACAGATGGCTCTAAAGGAAAGGTCAGCTGCCTAATAGGAATTCACTTCTTCAATGCACCCTGACTTGTATCTGTGTAATTTGTGCCAGACCTTCTAAATGGCCTACTTCACACCACCTTTTTTAACTAAAAATCCCTTGATGTACTTGCACAGGAAGTACATCCAATTTCCTCATCTCTCCCAGATACCCTTCCCGGGCACTACCCACCACTCGCCTGCCTGATTTTCCTCTCTAGCCCAAAACAGCTACAGCATGTGCTGCTTTCTCCCCACCACGTGGACAGGGACAGGGAGGCTGGGAGCTCCAAGTGACAAGGGTACCAGGAGCTGGTGCTGATGGTGAACCCCTCACTGCGGGATTTCAGTGCACGATGCATGGATGACATGGGGCTGGGGGAATTGCTAAGTAAGTTCATTGTGGAACATCTGTGTGAACATAACACTGAACATAAATCCACTGGCCAGGCTTCATGAGTTCTGTTGCTTCCATTCATAAATGAATCAAAAGCACCACCTTTTTTTTACAGAAAAAAAAAAAAGAAATAGGGTCAAAATGCAGAGTAAAAAGGTTCTTACTTGGAAGCTGGTAAGAGCAACAAGAGCTTATCTGCCAACCACTGTTCACTTAGAATGAAAAGTTCAGACTTATTAGTGTAGGAGAGCCCTTTAGGATCTAACTGTTCTTGTGGATATTAAGAAAAAAGCTTTACAATCTCCATCAAAAAATTGCAAATCTGAACTAGGCCAAATATCTTTACATATCAAATTAAAAATAAATTATGTACATTTCCTGCAAAATTGCAGAAGATCAAAAACGCTTTTAAAAGTTTCACTTTTTTTTTTTTTAATGATGTGCAGGAGCAGCACTCCTGCATAGGGGCAGGATTACATATGTGAAGACTGCTTCTGGCAGGAGTTCACCTACCTTTCTCTCAAAGAATCGCTGGTCTAGTGGACTCCATGACTGCCCTAATTCATCACCTTAGCATCAGTATTGGGGTGAGGAGGTTCCCTTAACATGGTCCAAATCCTCTTTACTCTCTTTGGTTTTCTGCTTTCTTCTTACAACACAGGTACCTGAGCTTGTATCCATCTGCAAAAGACCACTTTGAGTTGCTTCTTTTGCTATTTTCCCTAGGCCAAATACATCAAATTTCCCAACAGGCGATGTTTTCTAAAACTGCCTTTGGTCCTGCAGTTCTCTCCTTGACTTTCTTGTCTCCTTGACTTGATTTTGTTAGGGATTCCAGGTAAGGCCTTCTGCTATGGAATAGTTTCTGGAAGCTACATAAAATTCTCCACTAACATACCCATGCTGCGATCTGCCTACATCTCACCTTCACAATAGTATTGATCAGTGTATAATCCACTGTAATCCTCATAACCTTTTAGAGTATATTGCTTTCTTGTTATCCATTATCTATTTTTATTTGAGGATTTGTGCTTTCCCTCCTCTGGGAATTTTCTCTTACTGATTTTGGGCCATTTTTCTCATTTTTCAGGATTATCTTTAATTCCAGTCCTGCTCTTGAAAATGCTTTTAACTATCTTCTTGTCTGCTGAGGTGATTTGCTCATTTTTATGAGTACACCCTTTATTTCATTATGCAAATTATTAATTAATGTATTTAATAGAATATAGCTGAGATCAGAAGCTACCTGAGGCAGGAAACTACCTGAAACATCCTGCTAGTTTGATAGTGCATTACTGATACTTGCTTTTTGAGAAAGACCTTCAAGACAGTTGCTTACCCACCTCATGACAGACCTACACCATACTTCTTTATCTTGAATATGAAAGCCTCATAGTAAATATATAAGAAAAGTTACCAACACAGACATATGATACAACTGCTTCATCCATACCTGTGAGGCCAGCTGTAAGTCAAAGAAAGAAGGGAATCCCATTTTTTTGAGTGTGGTGGACTTTTCTTGACAATCCCTGATGGGATTTTTAATCAATTTATTATTTTCTAGGTGATTACTAAAAAGTAGCTTAATAGCTTTACTTTTTTCCTTAGATCTTTCCATATATCCTTATTCCATGAACTCCACTTTCTTGTAATATATCTCTTTTTCCAAAAATATTTTTTCATCTTCAGAATCTTCCTCATAAATACATAAGCACACAACCGCTAAAAGGAAAGTGGTAGTATACATTCAAATGATTAGGTCTTATCTCCGATTGTGGTGTTTTTCCATATTGGGAGAAAGCTCCTTGTCAGATGACATATTGATATCTCTGACACCCAATTGCTTGTGGAGAACTTGCCTCTGATAGCTAACATGAAAATGCAGAATCTGCATTTCAAATAAAAATAATGCCCAAGCTTTGTAAGCTTTTTCACAGTTGGGAAAAATTTAGGGGATGCTAAAGTTAAGGTTGCAATAATAATCCATTATGTTTAGACTTTACAGAAATGATTTGAGTTCTGGGAAACATTACTCACATGTACAGAGAGATTTTTATGTCCTCATTCTGTTGCAAAGATACACCGTGTGATGCACTCACACTAATGAGAGCAAAACTGAAGCTCAGAACAAATATCAATAGTGGTCATATTCCTGAGCCAGACTCCATGGATTTCTTTATTTTAAAGCAAAGGAAAAACGGAGAAGT